GACAGCTTCGGGTTCCCTTATCAGTTGGGCTCTGAACGTCATTGTCTGCGTCGCGCTGTCATAGGCACTTGGCGGTTGCCATAATTCAGCACGATAAGGAAAACATGTCTCAGCAATTCACCATAACTAATTTCGACTTTGAACCCATACTAGCACAATTACGGAGTGATGTCTGTTTGGTTGACAGATCTTTTTTCAACCCCGGGAGTGGGCAGTGCAGTGGCAAGAGATGGTGTTTTCACGAGATTGCTCAGATCGAATTTCTTTCATCATCCGCTAGTACATAGGTTTGGACGACAAGCGTTGCAACAGCGCGCTCCAGGCCGCATGTTTTTTCTTCTTTGCTGGTGATGGGTCCCTGTTTCAGTGTGAACTACCGGGCCACCGATGGGCAAAAAATTTGCGCTGTTTGAAAAGTGGCGCTATAGGACTGGTCCTAGACGCCACTATCAAACGGTCTCCATTCTTATCCCGGGCCAAATTTTCCAGCACTTTGGGTAGAGGCCGATATTCGGCCGGAGGAGTGCGGTATAACACAGATGAGTTTGAGCTTTGCGGAAGATTGAGGCATTATCAGGGTAAAAGAGGTCGAAGGTCAAGGAGAGGGAAATTTACCTAGTAGAAATACAGGCGGACCTCTAAGGTGCGGACCGACACGCAATTCGCAGCGAAGGATATGCCCCGGCGATCTAGCATGGCCTCCCGCGGCGCTATCGGCGCGGCACGCCCACCGACTGGCTAACCACTCGCCGCAGGTCTCTAGCCGTTCAGCAGAGAGAGCGTTAGCGTTGAAGAGGGCAGCACTGATGAGAGTAGGGTCAATGCGGAAATCAACTGGCAATGAAGGGGTCTCTTTTTTGGGCTCTAGGCCATTTCTACCTCACCTTAATTCTGACGGGCTGTGTTCAAATTGTGAACTCCGCCTTTAAGCCATTACCTTCAAAATTGCATTGACAGTTTCTTATAAATGGCTGTGACTTACGAGTTTGTCGGTCTTGCGAAGCATCGTGCACTCGAGTGTTGCCTGACCGATCAGCATTCGAAGTTGAAAAGTGACATCCCATTTTATGGCAGTGTGAGTGACGACGATGTCGTGATTGTTTGCTGCCGAGCACGGGTCGCGTCGCGGTCGCATATGACAGTTGCACATTCTGAGCGGGAACCTGATGATGTTGGAGATTGGACCAAAACGGCATGAATTGCTACAGTACATCAACTTGAGAGCGTGTTAGAAGAATTAAGCCACAATCAAAAACAAAAATCATAATGAAAACAAGATATGACCCGTAACTGAGCACTTGTCTACCGTAACGCTTTAAGATTCAGCATTTTGGTCCCAGTTTTTACGGAGAATGAACATTTGAGAGTGTGGTCCAATAAGCGAGATGATTCACCACCCTAGAGAAATTCGGAGTCTCTGTGGGTGCAAAGAAGTATCGCACCGCATGCCCCTCCCCCTCTCCATCCCCTTCCTCCTTCTCTCTATTCGATAGACCTATTAGCGCTAGCAAGTAAGTGCTTCTCTTTTTTTTTTATTTTTGCTTCATTTTCATCCCAAATTTCCTAGCACTGAGAGTTTCCCTACCTCTCAAATGTTGTGTTACGTAATCGCAAACGCAATTTTGGATTCAAAGTGGTATAGTAGCGAGTGTACCAAGTACCACGCGCACGGTCTGGAGATCAATTCTCGAAAAGGCAACCAAGTTTGGCATCCCACCGCACCCTGTTAACTGGTAACGAACTCGTCAGGAGAAATAGGAGCACGGACTTGTGATTCGATTAGCCTCACATGCCATTGTGTGGAAATCAGTTTCAATACGGCAAGGGCTCTTAAGGAAGTAGAACGCGTGACGCTGAAAACCGGTGAAGAATTTTGCGATAGCTTTCACATTCAGATGCCCCTCCTTATTCAAGTGGTCGGATTGTTAACTCGAGATGCGCGCCACGCTATGGTGGTGAAAGCGCGACGCAGCTGCGCGCGGCCACACAATCGCAACCAATCACATCAAAAACGGAAGTAGTACGGACCATGCGGTATCCTATGGTGGAAACTATCGCAGTATACGGGGGTAACCTCTGGGACTACGCCTAGGAGGGGAAAATGAAGATACCTCACGCACCCTGAAGTCTCATCTTCCTGCCTAAGGTTGATCCCGTTTTTAAAAAGGATATGTTTCACACGGTAGCAAATGCAGTGCCACTACAATGCCCAGTATCCTGTGATAGCTATGCCGTTCTGAATGTGCAATCCTTATAGATCACAGATGATTTTTTGGAAAACTTTAAAAATCACAAACGAAAAAGAGGGGTGGCCAAGAGACATTTCCACGACGCGGTTACAAACAAGCACAGAAAATCTTATTGAAGAGAAAGACCTGCCCAGAATTTTAGCACATTGTCATTTTCTACGGTAGGAGTAAAGGCACTTGTATTAGCTAGCACAGAACAATTTCCCAGTATATGCAAAGTCCGCAATCACAGAAAACGTCACAGCCAGTGGCCGCTGACGTCTGAAGAATGGATGCGGCGGCGACGGCGGCAGCGATTGTGCTCTTCAGCCGTCACAAGGCACCGTCGCGTTATCATTTGGCAGCGGTTCAGGGAGGGCTTATCTCTTGCTGAAGCACTGGAGACAAGAACATTAGTCAAAGATTGTTAAGACGACGACAGAACCAAACCACTTTATTATCCCGCGATATATTATACAAAACAAAAACAACAAAATTAATATTATGCTTTTAACTCGTCAAATATGCCAACTGTTGGCCGTTTTATTATGTAAAATGGTGTAATTATGAGAAATGATTATGAACCCTAATTATGCTTAAATTAACCGAAATCATGTAACAATCGTGCCTAAAAACAAAACTAAACTAATTATTTGAGAAGCTTTGCTATGACACACGCCGTAATTGGGTGCATGTTTTTGCGATTGCCCTCGAACTGTTGAACGGCTGACGGTCGAGCGGCCGGCCAGTTGAACAGCGACCTAAACAAATAGATTTGAACAGTGAAAGGTTTCGATTTCCGATTTCCGAAAATGAAAGAGCGAAAACAACAAAGCAAGAATTCGTGCGGGTTTCGGCCGGCGCCTATAGCTAAATTAGGATCACCTTGCGGTCCAGGTGTGGACCGTTGTGGCCGTGCAGGGGGGGGGGGGGGAACTGTAGAAACAAAGGCTCAGGTCGCGTGTGATCGCAACGCACTTTGATTTATGGATCGACAATAAAGTACAGCAAGGTTCAAAACAACAGCCAGCAGGGTTCTTACCTTCGACACTAATGGTGTGGAACGATGCGCTAGCCCTAGTCAAGAACATAAGAAGTGTGACCGAACAAAAAGCTCACATTGGAAAGCCGCGAAAGGGAGTTGAACGCCTTGGAAGTGGGCGTGGCGACCACCGATCGTATGCCCCTCTTGCAGTCGAGGAGATCGCGTGATTGGCTGCGGAGGCAACCTTTTTTTTTTTGCGAACCTGATTGTGAGCGCGTAAGGAGCAATTTGAAACTCGATTCTCCACCGATCCACCCCAAATGCCGTCTTGCATGCGCAACTTCACCGGCGATCTCCACGCTGGCAGATGGGCTCGCGATCGCTGGCGCGCCAGCCCAGGCTTTCAAAGTGTCGCTCCCTTTCGCGGTCTTTTCGATGTAAGCTTTGTTCGGCAGCGCTTTTATGTTCTTTTACTACTGGGCTAGCGCTCGTTTCTACATTATGCCTGATTACTGCCTGCTCATGACTTGCTGCTTCAAGCCACGTCCCACCCTTTTAGTTTCGGCCAGCTCTCGTGTCAAGCTCCGCTTTCTCTGATGTATGGGAACGGTTTTATTGTCAATCAGCATACAACCCCGCACTTCCATCACAACGCCTCCACTTAACCGCGTCGGTTAGATGTTCTCATCGTTGTATCTAGGAGAGCTACATTTCATGCGTCGCTTGATCATTTCCTAATCATGGTCGTATCCTTCCCCCATTATAAGGCCTGCCCGGGTCAGCATAGCAACCTTCACCATGCCTAAATAAAACGAAAAAACTTCCGATAAGCACCCACTGACAACCTTATTCACCCGAATAGGAGAATCAGAAACAATACACCGTAATGCCGCTTCTGTTGTGTTCCTACCGGTGGGTCTTCTTGTTTCGATGGGTATTGGAAATCTAAACTTGCAAATACCAGGTTTTCATTGCGCTAAAATGTGAAAAGAGGGGGCTAAACTTCGCTTTGAATAGGAATGAACTAGAAAGCACAGCCTGCATTGCCATCTGCAAGCTGTGTTTATCTTTTTTGCAAAGTTCTGGCAGTAAAGAGATTTACCAGAATACCGTACCTATAAATCGGTCTACAGTACTTCAGTCGTCCCACTGTGAGTACAAATGCGAGTGCTTTTGGAATTATCGGCTCCCATTTCGTTTCCAATCCCAACATCAGCCAACTGAATTTAACTTCAGCGTTCTTCGCCTCTTCCAACTTATAGCATGATGTTAACGACGGCATCTAAAATGGCTAAAAATAAACGATCACATCCTCATTGTGTTAAGCCCTACCTATCGATAATAGATGGAGAATATTCTCCTCTACATCTGCACTCTCACCAATATAAGAAGTCGTAGATCCGGAATTTTGTCTCACCTTTTCAAAACTGAACTTTCCACTGTTTCCGAATCTTTATTCAGAGTTTCAACTTTCTGACAGGGTGACATTTTCTCAAAATCAGCTGATGAGGCTGGCGGTGTGTTGTCAGCAGTTGACGTCCAATCAGCAGCCAATGCACGGCAAGCGTCCATCAAACGAGAATCATATCCTTAAAATACAATATCCCGAAAGGATGTCCTTAAGACGAATGAATCAAACCAGCGTGAGACCCACAGAGATTCAAACTCAAGTCTAGCGACTGCGCAGTTTACTACTAGTTGAGTGACTTTATTCGACAGGGTTATACTTGCAAAATTTTAGGCTGCGAAGCGGGGTCATATTTGATCGCGCCAGGTAAGGCAGAGGTCACAGGGTCGTTGGTAATGAGGCAGGAGTGTATTTGCTCAGAATTTTCTCGACACTTACTCACCCTGCAACCACACCTAATCAGTAGATAATCAAATAAGAAATAGCGTACGCCTCTCGTTTCCCCTTCCATAATTTGAGTTTGGCATGAGTGGTGATTTCAGTCTACAATGGCGCAATACCTGTCTGCCCTAGGCCTGGTTAAGTCGGAAGAGCGCATTACCTCAGAATCTTGAAAGAACCTGCGAAAACGGGGAAAATGTGGAGTTTCTGCCGTAGTTCTCAAATTCGCTCCAAATATGGTGAATCAACTTATGAGTAGGGCGTTTTCATGGGAAAACCAGGGCAACCCTCAACCCTTCCCTGAAGTTTGTCAAAAGGAGGACATGACTTGAGTTGGTTCACTGGAAACCCTTACGCGACATTCTATCACCACGTGAAGAAATTATAAAAAAGTAGCCTACTTTGGCTTTGGCGGCATTCCTGGTGCATAAAGCCATTTATCCCAATCGATTGAGTCGAGCACCGGTTTTTTGTCCGAGAAAAATGTATAGAGTTCATCTTTCCATGTATCGGTTATTATGCTTTTGAATGCATATCTGAAAGAAAGTTGTTAATATGTACAAAACTCATCGACCATAGTTAAGCTTATCTCGGCGGCCAGATTCAGATGCGCGCGGTCGCGCAGCGTCGGGTTGGGCGAGGCACAGCGCAACACCAGGGTAGGCGTGATGAGGGGAAAAATTTCAAAAAAAAAACTCAAATTTTCTAGTATAGGCTGCTGATGCTCAGTATGGGGAAAGTTTTCGCTAACCATATTTCAATTCCGCTCTTCAACAACTTTTTGATTTTTATGCTCTACTTCATGATTTCTGAGCTTTGTTGAAGTTTCAGTGATCAAGGACTTACAGACCACCGTTGAAAGAAGCATAGCAAATGCTTCGTAGAACTTTAATGGCACACCGCGATCGAGTAAGCGTTAGTTTTCGCATTAGAATATGAATGTATTCGCGGATTTGTTCATCAGTACCAGAAACAAACTGCACAGAACCCCGCAGGATCACTTGCACGGTGGTCATCCCAAGGTAGGGGTTTTTGCGCCCCCGCCCGCTGCGTGAGTCTCACTTAGTTCGTCGACTGCGCTCTTGATATACTCAGAAGACTTACAGGAGAAACCCCTGCAGTTACTCGAGACGCAGCAGATGGCTGTCGACAAACCCATCGCCGTGATTGCTTACCAACCGGACGCGGGTTATCTGTTGTGCAGAAGCGAGCCAGCTCAGTCATAATAGCGCGTGCTGACAGCATATGCTGCGAACTGCTGCGGTCCGGAGGTTTTCTTACTGCGGTCTATCTGAGACATTTACAGATAAGAGAAATAAATAAGTACAATAAAAAAGGTCGAAGTTGAGGATGTGTCTGCAGACACCGCCCACAACCATTCGAATCTCTTAGCTAATGTTCTTTTCTTTTTTTTCTAATTGCCTGTGAGCGCAGTAGCAACAAGCTACTTCATTTTGTACATAACACACTCATTATTCCTTTAACTAATCTGTCTTAGGAATTACGGCAGAGTAAGTGTGTGGTACCCCTGCGTACCCCTTTACGTACGTGAGAATCGCACAGTCCCGCACAATTAGCCAAAACGCCGCTAAGACACTGCCAAAACTTGTTATTTGGCATTGGGATGGTCACTTACTATCCAGTTGCACCCTTTGGAAATTTTTATTCAACTTTCAATTGAAACCGTTCACAATGGCAGTACAAAATTGGCACAGCACGGTACGCACAAGATGCGTCAACAAATCACGCGTACAGTTTGACGTCATGCCGCTTCTTCCACTTCAGTTTGGCATATCGCTCCTCGGATGGCGTCCTCTAAAGCTCCAATTGCAATTTTGAAAGAAATTTACTGACGAGCACAGAAAGAGAAAATACTCCTTCCGTTTAGACTTCGCTATCTGTAAGGGCAGGTGCGAAACGAGACTAAACTACCCTTTCGAGCCACCCTCTTAAATGAGTTTTGAAACACTTTTGTTTTACTAACAAACCCACGTTCAATTACGTATAAAATCATAATTTCATTTCTAAAGGACCCCCACCCCTTTACAGCTTCTGCTAGGCGGCGAAATCTTACCGCAACCAACAAACCAAATTCTCGGTTCAATTCTACGCCCCAAATCGAAGTAAGCCTTTACTTATTTTGATTACCTGCAAAAGTCTTCAAACCCGTTCACCACTCTTCCACTCTGTATTTAGTCATTAAAACTACTGTGTAAGGGCTATAACTACTCAACCTCGAGGAACTTCCTACAGAGGAAATTAGACACGACTCACTCTCAGAAATGCTTCCGGAGCTTCAATGACATACTGCAGAGAAACGGCGTCATATCATGATTTGTTCATAAATCACGTGCGTACTATGGCTCTGCGGAATCTGTTGTTTCGGGTGATAACGACTGAATAGTTCAAACGAACAGCCCAGAACAAAAAAAATCCCGCTGCCCCTATCACCACCAAATCTTTCTTCAGCGCTGATAACAATCTGTTTGGTGCCACAAGAGTGCGATCATATCAGAACCCGAATGTAAATGGCTCGATGATTTTTGTGCAAAATGTCTCAGAAAGTGGTGGTTAGATGTGCTAAGAGGATTTGTCTGCTACTCTGCTAAAACCATGATCATAGGCGTCGGAGTGGTGTAGCTGCTATGCAAGTAACTAAAAGCATCAGCCAAGCCTCAAAGGGCAGAAAGCTCTGGCTTGGGCAGACAGCTGAGGGTGTGGCCGTCGTCCTAAAATGTGACACCGACCAAAGAACTGGTGGTAGTCACGAGTGAATTGAGACTTTTTCAGTGGAACAGTACAAATAGGGATTAAAACAAAGGAACAAAGGGGTCTGTTCCCTTGAAGGAATCCCACATCAACCAATAAATTGATGAATGAGTATTGTATTAGTTCAGAGACTCGCTGATGACGCTGATGATCCAATCAAAACCGCACGGAGACAGCAATCTTCCCAGATGGACCTTAATCCTATCACATGTGTACTGTGCTTACTGCTCCATAACCAAACCGGCAAAATCGGTATGTTCGCCTTCTTGGTGAAAATGTAGTTCGAGGGGGCCACTCATAATATCTAATCGAACTGACAATATCTAATCGAAGTGGAGCTGCGGAAGGGCGGTCATATCTAATCACCATCCAGACACAGTCTCTGAGTGTATGATTAGATAGGGATACCAACTCCGAGATTCCATACAAAATCGGATACCTGAAAGGCCCTTTCTTCGAGGGCTCGCATGGCAGTCGCAAGAAGGTTTGGGAAGGGAAAGTGAAGAGCCAGCAAGGTAGCAGCCATTTTAGCCATAGAATAATATGACAAGGGTAAGCGTAGTCGTAGGCCACGGTCTCAGTGAAAGATATGATAAGATATAAGTGCCTTCCCGCAACTCTACTTTGATTAGATATGAGTGTCTTTCCGCAACTCCACCTTCGATTAGATAGGGTGGCCCCCCAAACTACATTTTCACCGCCTTCTTAATATCTGAAAGATGGTACAAACAAAAATAGTGCTCAATTAGCGACGATAATTTCCGGCAGTGATTTAACCTATTGATTGGTGGTAACATGACTTTGGGGACTGATCACTTAGTTGACTGGAATCTACACTCACGAACAATAGCAAAACAATGCTTTAATCGCGTTTGCACACATCGAAAAACCACTTATTATATGTAAATTTTCAAAAACTGCTCGAATCTAGCTTGATTATCTAGAAGTTGTTCGATCGTGAACAGCAGCGCGGAACCCTGAAATCAATTGCGCAGTTCCCGTGATGAATATAATCAGGCCAAACCGGAAAGACAAGTAAAAAGCGTCGCGCATCAGCGGTCAGACTACTAGTCCTAGCATGATGATAATAATCGCAGTAGACCATATAACACTAATGGGCGACGCACTGTGCAGCCACTTGTGCCATGCCTAATACATTGCATTGCTGCGGTCAGCAGATGTTTTTGAACGTATCCCCAGACCAGTACAAGTACTTCAACAAGCCGCATACAATGAAGGCTTGCTTTTGCCTGGCGATATGTCATCCGAGCTTTGACCCATGGCCTTCTTTTTCTATTACAATATTCTTGATTTTTGATCACTTATTCCTTCACCTCATGCCTGCATTTATGTGTGCTGACTCGACTAGTAAGCCGATGTTGACCGCATTTAGGCGACCCGGGTATCAAGATGAGACAGTATTTTCAGTGGCCAATCAGATCAATACTAATTCTCACCTTTTCGTAAGGAACAGAACTGAACGCATCATCTGGATCGACACCGTCCAATTTTGGAATCAATTTCGTGAACTCATGCGTTTCCCCGAATGTCTTCACGGCTGTCGTTAAACCCTCCTGAAATTGCTCTAGAAACATAGAGTAAACATTCTCCCACTGCAAAAACGAAATCCCTAAATGAAAAAACGTAACAGCACATGTCGTCCATCGCCCAACTAGCCATATTTCACATAAAGCAGGTCATTGTACTCGAAAAATGAAGTTTTAAGCGTTGCTCACTTCCTTTTCGGAGAGGAGCCACACAATATGCTTCAAATCAGGACTGCAGTGGTTGTTTGAATGCGATGTGGCCCAGACAATCTCCTGCAAGGGTTCATGTCCATCCTTCCATACAAATGACTAACCCTTGAGTGAAGGAAGTCGGTTGCCTGGGCGGATTCACTTTACGTGGGCATTACCGTGTTTTGACCCCAGACTATGTGCAGTGTAAGTGGCGCGACCTGCCAATAACCATCTCCCTGGACAAAAGACAAGGACAGGCGGGATGGTAAGGGCGCGGATCAACACGCAATTCGCAGCGAAGGATGTGCCTATGGCGACTGGCATGGCCGTCCCCGCACCACTATCAACGCGGCACGCAAACCGACTAGCCAACCACACGCCGTAGGACTCGAGCCGTTTATCAGAGAGAGCGTTGGCGTCCAAAAGCACAGCACCGATGGGAGTTCCACCAATGCCGAAATTACTTGGCAACAAGGAGCTTTTTCATTTCTTGGGTTCTGGGCCGTTTTCTCAATCGTTTTTTTTTTCATACTTGACCTCTGTAACAGAACTTATTTGTATAAGTAAGTAAAGTATAAGTTTATTACGTTTGCATAAGGCACACGTGAGAAATAATTAATACCATTATTGAATCATAATTGAACAGAAACAACTACAAATCAATTCCATTCTAAGAATAACGAGTTACAATAATCAGTCTCAAAAAATACTTTGACTCTGGCCTACGAAGTTATACGACCTACATCGTAACCACATTCACTTTCGAAATTGTCTCTCTAGTTCACCCTCGAGTCGTCCTTTGATTTTCCTTTCCAAGAAAACTGTGAATCCTTCATTCAACCTGGAAAATAGTGTTATTGATATATTTCCCATTTCTGCTTATTTCTATTATTTTATTCAGATCTAAGTA